TCGACAGTCTGAGCCCCGTGAGCTCACCTACACGCTTGCTGGTATATCCCTCAATCATAGCAGGTAGGACCTCTTGTGAGTCCGCGCGGGTAGGTACTACCGCCCTGCCCATTTCTGCCGTGAAGCAGTAATGCGGTCTGAAGGGTAGGGCAGCCGTTACGGTTGTAACTATACTGAGATCTTAGAACGTATATCTCAAGGTGGGTGGCGCATTTACGTTGTACATGCCTATGGGCTCCAGTAACCACCTAACACCAGGTGGGCTTTGAGCTCGTCCACCCATCTAAGCAATAAAAAAGATAAAAAGGTAAGCAAAAAAAAACTTTTATCATGACTGCCACTAATTTCATATCCGATCCAGGCTACAAGACAAACACGAAGCCGCCGTCGCCCGAAATATGTCTTGTCTTACCGTGGGACCAGATCTACTTACTTATTCTTCTTTTTCTCCAACTTATCCCACTAGGTGGGGTCGGCACAGCTAATTGTTCTCTTCCATTCTCGTCTATCAGCCGTCATCTCAACACTCACTCCTCTCTCTCTCATATCGTCATTCACACACTCCATCCATGTCTTCTTCGGTCGACCTCTTCCCCCTCTACCTTGCACTACCATTTCCATACACCTCTTAGTCACATGCATCTTCTCTCTACGCATCACATGTCCATACCACGCTAACTGTCTAACAAATCTAAATCTACTCTCGTTGCTTTTAGGCTGCTCTAACACCTTCTTCATCTCACTTCGGTTTCCTCAATACAGAGGGTCGTGACCACCGCCTCACGAGAATATTCCGGATCATTCCACGCCATTTACTCCAATCTGCCGAGTGTAGAGCATCGTGAACTGTGATGTCGAGGGTAGTAATACAAACTAGTAATACAATTTGTAGCATTCTGCTTCCTGCTCAGACCAACGTGTGGAGTCTTTTAGCCCCAACGTGTCGGTGCTCAAGTATTTACGGTAAGCAACGGCTTCGCTCTGCCCCTGGCATTGCTGAAGTCCATGGGCGACGGTATACACTCACCATCAGATGGGCCGTATGCTTGTCTGCTTAAAAAGGCAATAAACAAAAAAAAATACGGCAGAGCTTTACTTTGTGGAAGTTTGTGCTTAAATACTAATTAGTGGACCCTTAGTAGTCGAAATTCGACTATAATTAATTGAAATTATAAGTTTGAACATTATTATGTTTCTATTGTCAAAGACAATTATTATTATTTTTATTGATTTAATGTATTTTTTATGCATAATTTAAGAAGATATTAACATTCTGCACTCCTTCTCTATATTCTCTATAAGTGCGGGAAATTTCATACTCCTCCGTCCGCGCAATTTTCAAAGTTTTTGCTTCACGTATTAATATATAGATTTTTGATGTATCATAATATGTGTTTGCTATTTGATTATGTCTGTGCGTGTGAGAAATTGATGGGCGCCAGTAATGTGTTGAATAGTCTCTCTGATACTTGCCGACATTTCCTACATTCATCATTTTGAGTGTTACGTTCCTTGACTATGAACTTTTTGCGGTTTTTATTTTGTCTCTGGAAACAGCGATCCCAATTTTAACCACTTATTGATTACTGGTGGCCCTGAGGCCTTTTCAGTTTCACCAGGGCCAGTGGGCGAGCAAAGGCTCAGCCATGAGTGGTGGGATTAGCTAACAGCTGCCGGAGCGCCTCCGAAGGAAACCTGGCAACTCGAGAGCGGCTGCTTCGCGAATGAATCTACTACCGGATCAGAATCGCAACCCACTGAGAACTTCTTACTGGTGATTGTAACTGTGAGTCCACACAGGTAGGTACCACCACCCTGCCTATTTCTGCCGTGAAGCAGTAATGCTTTTCGGTTTACAACCGTTACGGCGGGACAGCCGCTGTACTGTAAAAATTGAGACATTAGAACTCATATCTCTATGTAGACGTCTATGGGCTTCGGTACCTACTTAACACAACGTAGGCTGTGAGCTTGTCCGCCCATCTAAGCAATAAGAAAAGTACAAATATTGCTACCAACTTGCTGAAAAGGCTATACTCGTGGTAGGACGTCTCGTGAGTCCGCACGGGTAGGTATCACCACCCTACCTATTTCTGCCGTGAAGCAATAATGCGTTTCGGTTTAAAGGGTAGGGCAGCCGTTGTAACTATACTTGAGACTTAAGAACTTATATCTCAAAGCGGGTGGCGCATTTACGTTGTACATGTCTATGGGCTCCAGTAACCACTTAACACAAGGTTGGCTGTGAGCTCGTCCACCCATCTAGCAATGAAAAAAAAAAACATACAAATAAAACCATAAATATTTTTTTTATATAACTTCCTTATATTTCGTCATAATAATATCTCTGTTTCTCTAAAATTACTTTATACAATTCACCTTTAAAAATTTATCATTACATTACGTAGGTACTTACACGAAAACATTGATGTAATTAAACCATTATGAACACTAGGACTTATTCACTAATTATTATACACAATAACTTTACATAGAAACACCTCTTAAAATCTAAATATCGACAGATGAAAAGGTATTTGGCTTAAGTGACATTTTTGCAACTTTACAGGAGATTAAAAGATTAATTAAAAGATTAAAATCCCTACTAATATATAAATGTGAATGTAAGTTTGTTTGTTACGATTTCACGCGAAAACTACTCAACCGATCATCATGAAACTTTGTACACATATTCTTGGAGGTATTAGAAGTAACATAGGATACTTTTTATTAAGAAAAAAATTTTTTTTCTACGACAAATAAAAAAAATAATTTGTCAAAAAATCTCAAAATCTAGCTTCTTCAACGCCATCTACCGGTTCAGTAATGAAGTTCCAATCCTGAGTACTACTGTAAATGAAGTCGAGGGTAAAATTTAGCGTTATGCCAAAGTAACTATTCCGCGCGGACGAAGTCGCGGGCAAAAGATAGTAATATATAAATCTACAATGGTTTTTACGGATGTTCCGTTATAACTACTGAACCATGCATCCGATTGACTTGAAACTTGGTATCCATGTAGAAAATACATGTGCTTAATGGATAGGCTGATATTTATATGAGTGTTGGACTCCCTAATAATGATGACAACGAATAATAATGTTAATTTTAAATGCCCAGCGAAATGGTCGAGTACGGCTGGTACCTAATAAAATGGATATTTTACAAAACTAAATCACAAAGATAAATGTCGCGTGTTAATCAAAATGTCACTTAAACCACATAACTATTCATACATTGACATAATATATATATATATATAAACTAAGTATATACTTAATTCACAATGTACTTAGGACATTGTTATCTGCTCACCGTTTCCATATAAGTTGCGGGCGATATTGTAGTTAATTGAATTTAAATTGAGCATTGACCGCTTTTTTTTTAATGCTTAGATGGGTGGACGAGCTCACAGCCCACCTAGTGTTAAGTGGTTACTGGAGCCCATAGACATATACAACGTAAATGCGCCACCCACCTTGAGATATAAGTTCTAAGGTCTCAAGTATAGTTACAACGGCTGCCCTACCCTTCAGACCGCATTACTGCTTCACGGCAGAAATAGGCAGGGTGGTGGTACCTACTCGTGCGGACTCACAAGAGGTCCTACCACCAGTAAAAAACTTACCAGCAGACCGGTGGGGCGATCAAGATAATAATGCAATTCAATCGAAGGATATTTGGAAGATCTACCGCAATTTATATAGGGCAGGGTTTGTACAATGAAATTATTTGGTCGGTTTTATGTTCGATCGCATTTGTATTCTAAACCCTATTTTCATTTAACGAAAACTCATTATTGCACACACCGCTGATACAATGGTAGTTCGAATTGTGCTTTTAGGTACCACAAGCAGCCGTCACCGTCCTCGTCGAACCCGTCGCTTGCGACGAAGGGCTCGACGAGCGAATTAACTCATAGATACAGCCCACTGAGTTTCTCGTCGGATTTTCTCAGTGGGTCGCGTTATGGATCCGGTGGTGGATTCTGCGAAGCACTGCTCTTGCTAAGGCCAGTGTTAGCCACACTCCCGGTTAGAGTAAGTTAGAGAAAAAAATCAATAGGTTCCTTAATTTAAGCAGAACGATCCATAGCAATGTCAATGCAACACAATAAGTCAGATATGACATTGCTTTTTAAACACAGTAAAAGCTCCTTATTCGCGCTTATACATTTGAATTTCCAGTATACGCTAATTAAAAAAACCGTCCAAATTCCTATATTCGCGACTAAAGATTCGTATAATGAAATATCCTTAGTAAACGCGTCGTCAAATGGACTAATAAAAAAGGAAAATAGACCTTATTACAACTGTGCCTAAAGTGTGTTTTTATTTATCCCTTATATATAAGTTACCAGTCACTGTTTCTGTATTAGCGGCATATTTACTGAACATATACAATGCGAATAAAAAGCTTTTACTGTATAGTTTAAGAAGCTTAATGAGCTATAATAAAAAAAAAAACCGAACATTATTTGGAATGAGTATTAAATTTATCTTATAGGGCTAGTTCACTTAAATATAATGTCTTTTTCATTTACATACATTTCTTATAATAAATAAAATGAATCGTGTCTTTTAAAAATTTACAATTCANCTGAACATATACAATGCGAATAAAAAGCTTTTACTGTATAGTTTAAGAAGCTTAATGAGCTATAATAAAAAAAAAAACCGAACATTATTTGGAATGAGTATTAAATTTATCTTATAGGGCTAGTTCACTTAAATATAATGTCTTTTTCATTTACATACATTTCTTATAATAAATAAAATGAATCGTGTCTTTTAAAAATTTACAATTCACCTACGTACAACCCTAGCTAGACTTTTTTTTAATACTGACAAAGAAAGAAGTAGTTTTGAAATCGAACTCAAAAGATTTTACGTCCGACTCTAAGACTACACATAAAACATGGCCAGCACATCAATAAATTATTTAAAAACCAAAAAAAATATTATTTACATCATATGTGAATGGAAAACTAAACTAAAAACTTATTTGTCGACATTCAAATTGAAATTGGGATAGGTGGGCCTTATTGTCGGCTCGTTGACGGGGGACGACTGGTTCGGGATGTACGGATACCGGGGGTAGGGGGGATAGGGGTAGGGGTATCCCGCGGGTAGTAGCTGCGGGTTGTGGAACGGTGGGATTAGTGCTGGATTGGGATAGCCGTAGGGGAGACCGACGGACGACGCCGCCGCTTGGAGGATTGAGGCCGCGAACGCAGGATCACTGTAGACCGCCGCGTAAGGCCACGCCACTGCGATACGCTGTCTTTTGTCTTTCATTCTTCGATTTTGGAACCATACCTGGCGACAAAGAAATGATTTTGTTAGAGGATGATATATTTTTGTATGTTAGGCTACATCTGGTTTTCAGAGGTTACTGTATCCTCCGACTCTGAGTCGTGGACAACAAACTGTTTTTTTTTTTAATTACTTAGATGGGTGGACGAGCTCACAGCCCACCTGGTGTTAAGTGGTTACTGGAGCCCATAGACATCCACAACGTAAATGCGCCATCCACCTTAAGATATAAGTTGTTAGGTCTCAAGTAAGTTACAACGGCTGCCCCACCCTTCCAACCGAAACGCATTACTGCTTCTCGGCAGAAATAGGCGAGGCGGTGGTGCCTACCCGCGCGGATTCACAAGAGGTCCTACCACCAGTAATACCAGTTTATAGCATAGCATTGCATAGGAAGCTATAGTCGCTCATGGAGCTTTTTAAGCCGCATAACGCAGAAAGCGTTAAGTGATTTTTTTTTAATTTTTTTTATTGCCATTGTAGGCAGACGAGCATACGGCCCACCTGATGATGAGTGGTTACCGTCGCCCATGGACTTCAGCAATGCCAAGAGCAGAGCCAAGCCGCTGCCTACCGCGAAAGAGAGAGTGAGAACCGCGAATGACGTTTGTGTGAATGCGAATTACAAATTAGTGGATTTTGACCAAACGTCCACAGCGTCCAGACACACTGGTTCTATTCTGTTGGTGACGTAACGAAAACAGCGTCGCATCGAAAACAAACCGACACGCAAACAGAATAGGTGTGCTAATGGCGTATCATAGGAGCATTAGAGCGCTCGGGAGGTGGCGGCCGAATGAATGTATTTCGAGACGTTTTCGCACGACCACGCTAATTAATTACAGGTTTTAAACGAAACGAAATGAAATGCGAAACCGTAAAGGTTCGTCTTCGAGAAGAAGAACAGGGCTGCCACTTTAAATCTATATATTAATACGTGAAGCAAAAACTTTGTATCGCTTTTTACGAAAATTGCGCGGATTGAGGAGTATGAAATTTTCCACACTTATAGAGAATATAGAGAAGAAGTGCACAATGCTAAATTTTTTTAAATTATGTATAAAAGATACATTAAATCAATAAAGAAAACATTACACACACTACATACCATGTATTTGACGCACGCACGCATGCATACTATTTATTGTCAAACTTTTGTTCTTGACGTCTGTTGTCAAATTGAGAATAGATTAAATATTGTTTGTCTTTATTAATATTTTTTTATAGAATAGCCTTGGCGAAATTTGTGATTATAGAAGTATAAAATACAATCATAATAGTGTACAAACTTACAATTCCAATTAATTATAGTCGAATTTCGACTACTGCGGGACCTCTAGTAAATAAATAAATAACTGGAAACAAATCACGCACGGTCATCAGGTCCCAATTTATGTGTCCCTGTGTTATGGGTACAAGAGACTGACATACATACTTATATACGTTTAAATATAGCATATCGTCGTTGTCAAACCAAAATCTGCCCTAGCAAGAGCAGTGCTTCGCAGAATCTACCACCGGATCGGAAACGCGACCCACTGAGAAGATCCGACGAGAAACTCAGTGGGCCTCCAACGCAAATAGGCTTATAACACACTCTTAAATGTACTGTAATATATCTGTGAGAATATGACGAAGGGAAGATCTTTCACCGAGCGGTTGATATTGCTCAGTAGACCGACCCTCCGAATTTTGTTGTTCTGAGCTTTATATATATGCAAGCTAATCTTGAAAATGTCGTTAGCGAAATTTAATTATCTGTCAAATATCTTGTCTTTTTTTTTGTTGCTTAGATGTGTGGACGAGCTCACAGTCCACCTGGTGTTAAATAGTTACTGGTGCCCATAGACATCTACAACGTAAATGCGCCACCCACCTTGAGATATAAGTTCTAAGGTCTCAGTGTAGTTACAACGGCTACTCCACCCTTCAAACCGAAACGCATTACTGCTTCACGGGAGAAATGGGTTGGGTGGTGGTACCTACCCGCGCGGACTCACAACAGGTCCCACCACCAGTAAAAACCAGTCTTGTGTACTATGATGGCTACCCGTTACAGATCTATTAAAATGTCGTTGCGAATTTTATTGGAGTCTATCAACCCTACTCTCCGTCTAAAGTCATTATGTCTGCATTATGGTCATTCGTTGAAACAAAGTGTACAAACAATGGAATATCCATACTAAGGCTTTTGTACGCGGAATGACGTGTTAATTGGCGGGAAGCGAACTGTCAGATGCGCTTGGAAAATGGCGGATATATGTTTATTTTTATTCTCAAGCTTTGTGAATATACCCGTATAAATATCGAGGGGTGAAAAGCTATTTTATTTAAGCAACATATTTGAAAAGTTACAGGGAAGCCATTAAAAGTTTAAAATTTGGAAAAAATATCATAACAAAAACACTTCTTTAGCTATTTTTTGTATGTGGTAAAATCAATTGATGTTCAATTAAAAACATCGAACTGTTGATGCTAATAACAAATAAAACGGACCTTTAATTATTACAAAGATAAATGTAGCGCATTAAGTGAAATGTCGCTAATGCTCACTTTTTTTCCTTCCTAATCTGATGATCTTCAGAGACCATATAAGCGGCACTTGGCTAGTAGGTGAGCTCACGGGGCTCAAACCTAACGTTGTTGCTAACTCGAACCCTAGCAAGAGCCGTGCTTCGCTGAATCTACCACCGGCTCGGAGACACGACCCGCTGAGATGATCCAGCGAGAAACTCAGTGGGCTTAACGCTCACTTTTTTTTTTTGGTCAGGAGGAAATCGCCGTACTCCCGCCCTCCACTGGGAATAGCGGGCGGAGAATGTCGGGGTCGAACCGACTAAAACCTCCTGTTTCTCAACAACCAACGTCCAAGCCTCGCATGAGACAGAGTTCATGAAAAGGCAAAGGGGGGAAAGTGAAGCGTTTAGTGCGGTTCTCTCCCATCATCCTCCCCCTAACGCTCACGCTAACGACATCCCGAAAGAATCCTCCACATCTGTATTTCCGAAACTCAGAACGAAAACAGCTCAAGCGACGCACATTTTTATCGAAACCAAAATCGAGTTAAACAATTCTAAAGTGAAACCGCTAAACACAAGGTCAGCAACAGCGGCAGCCGCTCTTTGATCTTAAATATTTTATTAACAGCCTCACAATCCCGTTCGGTCAATAAATCAATAAAACTCCATCACTATAAGCAAACATGATGTCTTAGTGTGAACACGGACCGCGGCTTTGCTCGCCCGTAATATCGTAGTAGAGTTCAGTCATAAGCCATTATCGAATTCTTAGAGGATGTTAATCATAAATGCGATTCGGTGGAGCAGTAGTTAGCGGCTCTGACTATTGCGCCGAGGGTCGTGGGTTCGATTCCCGCGTTGCGCAAACATTCGTGTGGTAAGCAGATTTGTTTGCTCTTCGTCTGGATACTTATTATCTATATAAACATATATTTATACATATATAAGTATGTTTGTCAGTCTCTGGTACCTATAACACAGGGAATTGTAATTTGTGACCAAATGACCGTGCGTGATTTATTTCCAATCATTATTAATCATTATAAATACGAAATCCATAACATAATATTTCTAATGCGAATTTAAAAAAGGTTGTAATTCGTATTTTTCGAACCACAGATAATTAATTCGAAATACGAAAATCGTTTCATTCGCAAATGGCGTCCCAATGGATTTTTTGGCGGGAACGCGAGTAGAGAAGTCGTGCGTTTTATCTTATTATTATTAATTCATTGTTTTTCTTTTTTTTTTATTGCCTTTGTAGGCAGACGAGCATACGGCCCACCTGATGGTAAGTGGTTACCGTCGCCCATGGACTTCAGCAATGCCAGGGGCAGAGCCAAGCCGCTGCCTACCGCTTAATACTCTCCACAAGCCTCGTTTGAAGAAGGACATGTCATAGCGCTCGGGAAACACCGTAGAGGGGAGCTCATTCCATAGCCGGATGGTACGTGGCAATGTAATAACAACGTGTAATAAAGACGGCTTATTAACCGTTTTAGCTTCTGTGAGAGTGCGCAAGTGACTTCTCTCTCGGATACTGTCAAAAACTTCAATGAACATCAATACATCTCATCTCAACTAATTTCCTTTTATTTTGTGGGATGTTTAACGACAAAGGCAAGATCTTCACCGAGCGAGTGATATTGCTCGGTAGACCGACAGTCCGAATGATGTTCGGAACTTGTATATGCACGCTTATGTTGAAAATGTCGTAGATTTTGGCATTTTTTTTCCTATCTAAGCTGATGGTCTAGAGAGACGATAATAATATCAGCGTAACCTTTACTAGTAGGTGAGCTCGCAGGGCTCAAACCGGACTGTTGCTAACACTGGCCCTAGCAAGAGCAGTGCTTCGCAGAATCTACCGCCGGATCGGAAACGCGACCCACTGAGAAGATCCGGCGAGAAACTCAGTGGGCTGTGTCTGTGGGTTAATTCGCTCGTCGAGCCCTTCGTCGCAAGCGACGGGTTCGACGAGGACGGTGACCGGGGCATCTATCAATTATCTTGTATTGTATGATAGCTACAATTTAATTTTTATTTCAGCTTGGAACTCATTCAAGTCTATTTTTTTCAAGAAACACAATACGCGCGTAAATATTTATTAAATAAATGGAGATTTAAAAAAATCGACAGTGACAACAGTTGCCATACTCAAAAATAAAAGAAGATCGTCTCAAAAAGCGAATGAGTAAGTTAGCGAGTTTGTATCGCGCGCAATGATGCTTCAATTAGGCCGACAATAATTCGAATGCTTTTTGTATTGGGACGCTAATTCGCTTCGAAGCATACAAATGTGTGAATTAACGGAGCAATGGGTACAACATTGCTTATTCGCCGGTAGCCTAAGGGGTGAGGGAGTCCGTATAGAGTCCCTTCTTTATTTCGCGGGAAAATCGTGTTTTTGGATCACTCGTAATTAACACCACAGTTGAAACGATAGGAGTTTTATTGTTACAGCGGCTTACACAGTTCTAAGTTATACACATTATATTTTTTTGTCATATGTTTTTTCAGCGGTAATTTTTTTTTAATGATTTTATGACCTGGTAACTAAGGCCTTTAGGTCAAGTCTTATTTTAATGAAAACTTTTTTATATAAAAAATGATAATATGAAATGAAATGAGATGAGATGATATGGGATGAAATATAAGCTCAGTAAAATGGTGGTCATTTGCTGTGATTTTTTCAGTGGACTTTTTGGAGGATCCCGAGAAGTTACGTCCAGCGGCTTTGTTTCATTTTCTCACATTAGTGCACTTTCACAGATATTAAACAGCTAATAGACCACCGTTATTACACATTTAAACCTGAAGAAACACTAAATAGACAAAAAAAAAGGGTGCGTGTACTTATGTACGTAATAAACGCGTAAGAAGTTATACTTTATTTATTTATTTAAGTATTAAATAATTAATAATTAATATTTAACGTTAATAATTTAATAATATTTAGTATGAATTATATTAAATAATAATTTTGTCATTTATATTACTAAATAATGAATGCTAATAACACTTTTTTTACGAGTGTACATGCGCGAAAGTTCACCTGCGGCTATATTCAGACTCGCTAAGTTACGTCGGTCGTATTGTAATGAGCGATTTAGTGGGCAACTTCATTCTGTTAATTTTGTGTCACGATGCGCGCGCATCGTAAAATTTCACTCTCATAAATTTTTCATAACGGGCCTAAAGAAGTATAACTTCAATAAAACAAATCACACAACTTCACTACTCGCGTTCCCGCCAAAAAGTCCTCGGCGGTAAAAAGGCCCCGTGTCACAGATTATCTTCTTTTTTTCACCTATTGTGCGTTCCGGCTCACGCATCATAAGAAGGTGCGTTCTTAAACGCCACAGGGACTATTCCAAATTCACGCGGACGAGTAGGTGAGCACACGGACTCAACTTGAGATAATTTGACACTAGCCCTAGCAAGAGCAGTGCTTCGATGAATCTAGCACCGGATCGGAATCGCGATCCACTGAGAAGATCCGGCGGGAAACTCAGTGGGTTGTCTACGGTACGCGATTTTGATTTTGTATTAAAAAAATTACAGCTTTTTTTGTTAATGAAGTCGTAATTTTTTTAGGCAATTCAAGCCGCGTCCGATCTTAAGATGAGCTCACGAAATACCAATATCTAATAACGTATTTGTTAAGCTATTAATCGTTTTTTTTTTATTTAACTTAAAGGATGCATAGCTTTTCTAATCTTCATGCTTATCTTCGAGAAGAGCTATCTCATTGGCAACAATTACCTACAAATATCGGAGGGCACTCTCACAAAACTAATATGATCCGATGTCACAGATAAATTAAGGTACATCGGAGCGAATTAAAACAAAAAAAAAATACATGGAAAAACGCTGAGCAATAAAAACAATTATCACTTCCAATAAAATAAATCGAAATATAAATTAAAAAAAAAACAACAAACGTTGATTTTAACAGCCTCAATAAGAAATTTAAAAAAAAGTTTTTACGTTCACGCTAATTTGTCTATGGTATTAATAAAATGGCCGCCCCGACCATAATATAATAGCCCGGTAGCCGAACTCTAATGAACATTAACGCTGTCCCATACAAGATTCGGGCCGTAAAACTACTCATAATTAGTTGCTCGGCCCGATGTTCACTTCATACCTATTATTTTTTCGGTTTACGATGTCAATTAAAAACCTATTAAGCGTACGTATTCGGGGCTACTATTCGGAGTGTCGTAAAATTTCGAAGCATTATGAATTATGTTACGAAACCAATTGACATCCTAATTTTATTGTATTGTGATGTGAATGCCGAAGTTGTAATGCGAATGAATTGCTATAAATATTAAAAAGCGATAAAAACATTTCGATTTGACACAAAAGTATTTTATTAACGCATAATATTAGTATCTCTAGAAGGCATGGCGGGAATTGGAGAATTCCAAATTCGAATGTAAGAATTTTTCAAATGAAATACTATGATTTGAATACAGAAAAGATTCGCTTCATACACTGATTTAAAAAAAAACAAATAACCTCAACGTCAACACGTTTGAAATTTGAATCGAAGCAGTCCTGTCATTAACATTCGAACAGATAGGTAATAAATATGTGTGTGCAGTTTTAAATGCACTGGCAAAGGGATCTTTGAACAAGACAGGCTTATTACGAAAACGTCTGCGGTTCGTCATCGAAAACGTTTTAGTGTCACAACCGTGTTCGCTGCTAAGTTATAATTGCACAAAGAGGTCGGTTACAACCAGGTCGCTGCGTAGGCGTCATGAAAAACACTGAAAACTATTTAGAACGTGACAAAACGTTAATGTGTGGGCTGACGTGAATTGATTTAGATGTCGTGTGTGATTTATTTCGTAAAAACCTTGGTCGATTCAGTACATTGCGCGTCGCGTAATTATCTTGTAGTTAGAGCTGCGCGGTGCGTGAGCTAAGCAAACCAAGCTCGAAATAATAGATACACCATTTTCATCTATGAGCAGTGTAAGACGTGGGAGGATCGGCAGGAAAATTGCCTATCTGGTGTTGCCACTACCAACCCCGCTAGATACGGCAACATTTAGCCTTAATTTGCAGGCGAAAAACAAAAGATTTGCCTTTGTAGGCATAGGAACATATAGCCTATTTGGTGGTGTTTGGTTAAACTCTCCCTTTCGTGTCGTCGTGGCCTAAAGGATAAGACGTCCGGTGCAAAAAATCAAACTCGCAAAATTATAGATTGTGTAATTACTGGAGGTAAGACCTCTTGTGAGTCCGCACGGGTAAGTACCACCGCCCTGCCTATTTCTGCCGTGAAGCAGCAATGCGTTTCGGTTTGAAGGGTGGGGCAGCCGTTGTAACTATACTGAGACCTTAGAACTCATATCTCAAGGTGGGTGGCGGCATTTACGTCGTAGATATCTATGGGTTTCGGTAACCATCTATGCAATAAAAAAGCCTTGTCCGAAGATCATTCTAGAAATGCACTGTGGAAGTGTGTATGTAGCAGTTCTAGGTATCCTTATATCCTGGAGTATATTACCTTGATGGTTGACTCTGGTAGCTGAAGCTGGGCGGCAAGCTCGCACCTCCTGGGTCGGGAGACGTAGTTCTCTTTCATGAACTCCTTCTCCAGCCTCGCGAGCTGTTCCCTCGTGAACGCCGTCCGGTATCTTCTGTACGTAGAGACAATGAGGGGTTTTAACAAAAGAACCGACAACAAATAAACAAAAAGAGTTTACCGTCGTTGTCAAACCAAAATCTGATATGTGCTTTTGAGATTTTTACATTTTTACCTTTTCGTATAGTTCACAGCCCTATCTATACCAATATATAAATCTGCAGTGGTTTTTACGGTTGTTCCGTTATAACTACTGAACCATGCATCCGATTGATTTATACGTGAAGCAAAAACTTTGTATCCCTTTTTAAGAAAATTGCGCGGACGGAGGAGTATGAAATTTTCCACACTTATAGAGAGTATAGAGAAGAAGTGCACAATGATTAAATTTTTTTTTAAATAATGCATAAAAGATACATTAAATCAATAAAGAAAACATTACACACACTACATACCATTTATTTGACGCACACACGCATGCATACTATTTATTGTCAAATTTTTGTTCTTGGCGTCTGTGGTCAAATTGAGAATAGATTAAATATTGGTTGTCTTTATTAATATTTTTTTATAGTGTAGTCTTGGCGAAATTTGTGATTATAGAAGTATTAAATACAATCATAATAGTGTACAATCTTACAATTCCAATTAATTATAGTCGAATTTCGACTACTGCGGGACAATTAGTATATTTAAACAGGATATTTACCGTATATTCGGATCAGGGGCGGACGTTGTGTTCGCGATCTGTTCTGACTGCGGACTCAAGGATTCTGCGAACAATATAGACACAGGAATTAATCATCTTGAATCTCCCCTCTATGAGCTAGTCAAGTCGTCGTGGCCTAAAGGATAAGACGTCCGGTGCATACGTGTTGAAGCGATGCACCGGTGTTCGAATCCCGCAGGCGGGTACCAATTTTTCTAATGAAATACGTACTTAATAAATGTTCACGATTGACTTCCACGGTGAAGGAATAACATCTATTTACATCTAACATTTGCTGTTCGTTAGTCTCGTTAAAACTCGAGAACGGCTGGACCGATTTGGCTAATTTTGGTCTTGAATTATTTGCGGAAGTCCAGAGAAGGTTTAAAAGGTAGATAAATATGAAAATGCTCGAAATTAAATAAAAATAACAATTTTGTTTTTCCTTTGATGTGTCCCCCGTCGGGCGGATTCCTTTTGTTTGTTTTAAGTTTATTTTATACAAAAGCTAAGGTCTTTTATTTATCGATTGAGGCACTACGAAGTCTGCCGGGTCAGCTAGTCGTGTAATAAAAATCAAACCCGCAAAACACCGGGTGGGCTGTGAGCTTGTCCACACATCTAAGCAATAAAAAAAAGATTAGTTTTATGTATATTTAAGACACAAACCCGAAGAATATATTAATTCGTTAACTTCATAATTCCTTCATAAAACAACGCGAAAATGCTCACCAAAATTGAAGTTAAACACAAAAAAAGCGATGGCGACCAAAGTCCTCAAGCCCAGAAGCTTTACGGATGAGCTTTTAATAGACGTTTAAGGGGCCGATTATCTGGAGTAAAGGATTGTAAGTGGCATTGGCGGCGACTGACACAAAAATTATCTTAATCACTGCTGAGAACGTCTAGACCGGGTCATATGGTAGGTACGTGTGGGGTATGTTCACATCGGGTGTCGTGTTTAGGGCATGATTAAAACAAATTTCATTAGAACATGATTAAAACAAATAAATAAATAATAGTTTAAAAAAACTGAAAAACACGCTTTATATAAAATTCAAAAATACTGAAATATTTTATTGTAAAAAAAAGCGTGGGATGCATGGTGTTATTAGTTATAAATATTTTTCTGACAGATATGACTATAATAATTATTATTATTTCAATAATATCTTAAAAAGCATCCCACGCTTTTTTTTAAATAAAACATATTTTACACTATTTTCAATTTAAATTTATTAAAATTTATTTTCCATTTTTTAGTTGAATTTTATATAAAGCGTGTTTTTTTTAGTTTTTTTAAACTATTATTTATTTTTTATTTTTTAGTTAAATGTTCTATAAAAACGTATTTTTAAAACTATTAAGTACTTTAACATCAAAAACCTGCCTTATCGACTATAGATAACAATTATATAAATTGGCAAAAATCTTATTTTGCAAATTGAATAATGGAATAATCGTATCAAATTAGTGTATTGTCATCGGTCCTTGATAAATCTACAAAGTTTGAATGAAATCTGGCCGTTTGAAGCGGGTCAAAATCGCGTCTAAAGGAGTCAGTTACAAACATACATACAAGTGAAGCTAATATAAAGCGTGTAAAAAGCGTTTAATCGCGCTTTTATTATCAATATACTACAACCGTAGCGGCTTGGCTCTGCCCCTGGCATTGCTGGAGCCCATGGGCGACGGTAACCGCTCACCATCTGGTGGGCAGCACGCGCCTACAGGGGTAACAAAAAAAAACTACCGTGAAAGCTCATTAGCGCTACCTTGATAAGAGTTTCCATTACTCGCGGAAAAAAAAAAAAATATTCGCTCTTAAAGATCTAATTGTTCGCGGATCTAATCGATAAATCGGTACATATATATTGATAAAAGGATTCCAATATGTTAGTGTCCAACTAAATATCTATACTAATCTATACTACTATTATAAAGAGGAAAGAATTGTCTGTTTGTTTGTATTGACTAGGCTCCGAAACTAATGAACCGATTTGAAAAATTCTTTCACTGTTTGGAAGCTACACTATTGCCGAGTGACATAGTCTATAATCTTTTTTGAAAAAAATTAAGGATCTTTACTAAACTCCAATAATGTAACCCAAGGTGCAAAAAAATTACCCAAAATATTCCTTACATCGCGTGCCTTGCGAAAACTATTGATGATAGAATAAAATAATGTACTACGACTTTGTAGAACACATTATTATTTACAAAAAATGCCACGACAGTATATGTCTAACTATTATAGTTATGCCGCAATAAGTGTACTTTTATTTAAAAAAATAAAACAACGTCAAATATCGTTGAAATTTTTGTTAAAGACCCGAGCGGAGCCGGAGCGGGCCACTAGTAAAAAATAAACGCACTAATAAAAAGTAAAATAGACCTTATTACAACTATCCCTAAAGCATGTTTGTTACGGAACGTATCCTCTATTATCCCATTGCTTTTTGTTAGTTTTCATATGCAGTTTTTTTTTTCTCTCAATTTTAATATTGTCTTATGCAAGGTGTGTTCACACCCAAAAGGATGAATTCTATAATGTATTTCTTTTTCTTCTAAAAAGTCCAATTTTTATGTATGCAGATTTTATCCCAATATTGTAGATGCTAGAACTCATGTTGAGAAATTAGTTGAATAATCCAATAGCATTACTGAAGCATTACAGAAATAGTGAGGCCGGTGGTACCTACCCGTGCAGGCTCAAAAGACGCCTTACCGCCAGTTAAATTTAAAAAAATACGGGCAGATAACACAGTAACAAGCGCTTAGGTTATTAGCGTCATCAATGTAGTTGATTGAAGAAATGTGTTTATTTACCGTATTAGTTTTCCGTAACATCATAATTCAATGGAGGAACTGGTAGTGGCCTCCTAAATACGGAGACGGGAATGTAGCGTCTTAATCACGCCGCCATTAACATAGACAATAGAGTTGAGAGCGATATTCAATTTTAGTTTTTTTTTTTTTTTTCGCTTTTCAAAACGACCGACTACTGCAAACAGAACGTTTGCCGCGCCTTTTTAAATTTAGAACCACTTCAACGACTAATCAGATTTGTAAAGGCGGGTTGATGGTTCATTTTTTTTTCTTCATACGTTTGTTTTTTTTTTTTCAAATTGAGCGGCCACAGGCTCAGGCATCGGTCTCTTTGTAGCCACTTTTATGTGGTATGGGAAAATATTTAATTAGACAATAGCTTATTTGTGTTTGTCTTGTGTTAATGTACGCCTTTTGAAACTTTGGGTGCGTGTAATTAACACCTACCGGCTGCCGGTTCCCGACACCCATTATAATGTACTACACGTTTTCGAGGGCTTTCGGACCTCAAATTGAGAACATAAAGTTTTGATTGAGTTGAAATGATACGCTCAGAACGTTCACGGTAGCGGCCATCACAAAGTCAATAACTGACACTAACCGCTTAACTAGTGAAGCATGCTTTTTAAAAAGGTTAAGGCAAAGGGATCTTACACAAGAAGTCTCTCGGACTTCATCTTTTTTTATTGCTTAGATGTATGGACGAGTTCACGGCCCATCTGATGCTAAGTGGTCTCCGGAGCCCATAGACATCAACCACACCTTGACTCACCTTGAGATATGAGTTCTAAGTTTTTACAGTACAACGACTGCCCTACCCTTTAAACCGAAACACATTACTGCTTCACGGCCCACTCCTTACTGCTAATCTATCCGTGTGCTCTTACAATATCGTGAACATTTGTCAAGTCCGTGTTTAAAGTTTTTATAAAATTATAAAAACGACACTGGCAACAATGGCGTCGCAAAAAGCCGATTTTCATACGTAAAAAAAAATGAAGAAAGGCGACCGATTCGAAATTTAAAAACACGCGTCAATCGAAAGCGCGGGTACGAACTTGCAGCGCCACGGAAACCGGTCTTTATAGCATTGACGAAATCGAGACCAATAGATATACACATATTTCTTTACTTTTTTTTTTATATAAAATTTACAACACTATTAATAAAACGTTTTTAATGTGTCCAAGTGATAATTGGTGGTTTTATATGGATGCGCCGTGTTGATGAGCTTTTTTTTTTTTAATTTGTGTGACCATGATTTCTCGCGTTCCAAATTTTCGAACTAAGCTTTATATAGACGCTTTCGCCATAAACAAAAGAAATAAATATATATGGCTCGTAATTTTATATATAAACTACTCGACAGAACACACTTATTACTTTCCTAAGCTAAATTGTATGCTAAATTGATTGGTTTTTTCACAAATTACCGCTAAGAAAAACTTTTCTTTTCCTACCTAATATGATGGTCTAGAGAGACCATATCAGCGTAACCTTAACTAGTAGGTGAGCTCACGGGGCTCAAACCTGACGACGTTGCTAACACGAACCCTAGCAAGAGCCGCGCTTCGTAGAATCGGAGAACCAACGGATCGAAAACGCGACCCACTGAGAAGATCCGGCGAGAAACTCAGTGGGCTGTATCTGTGGATTAATTTACTCGCCGAACCCTTCGTCGCAAGCGACGGGTTCGACGAGGACGGTGACCGGTGCTTGGGGTACCTAAAAGCGCCGTTAGTGGATCGGGAGGATCCGAAATGACGTAAGGAAAACGTGGATAATCACGCAATGATTTCATTTTTAACACGCTTAAAACTCGGTACGTTTGTTTGTATGTAACGGAATCTTTGATAGTAATTTAACCCATTTAACTGACTTGAAAACGACCAATCAACTTGATAATTCGCACACGCGTCAAGTAACGATGACAGTACAATAGTTTCATAACTTCGCTCTAATATCAATAATGACTTTGATTAAGTGTGTACATTATAAATTACATAATTATTATTTCCGGATTGGCTGTATGCCATCGTATTCCTTGGTGTGAGTTCAAAAAAACGCGAACACGCCATTACTACACTCGTACGTGAGGGCTTATTGGCGGAAACGCGAGGAGCGAAGTTGTGTGAATTGTTTTATTTTATGTGTACTAATAGCGGTGGTTTATTAACTGTTTAATATCTGTGAAAGTGCACATTTGGGGGAAAACGAAACAAAGCCGCTGGATGT